CCATTCCCCAAATGTCATCGCTTTATTCTCAGCAAGGAAAGGGGCAGACTGCTCAGGCAGAGCTTCCATAGCCTAATCGAGAGGATCGGGAAATGGTTGCTCTAATGAGGCCGTGACTGAGGGAGGAAAGGGGTCTGCTTAGTGCCTTAACTCACTTGAAAGCAAAATCTGGACGGGTTCGGGACCTATTTAGTGCGGGGGAGGCGGAGTGACAATCGTAGCACTCCGGCCAACTGCAGCTGCGCAAAGTCGCATTTCCGTCCCCGCCCCTGAGAGCCTGCAGACCAATTTGTCATGGCGCCCGGGCTGTTAGGTTTATACGCTCGCGGCCTTTTGGCAGCAGCGGCGACNGGCTGCCCGGGTTCGCTGGGAATCCAGCTCCGCCAGGGCTGTGATCACCCCGTCCACTGTGGTGGGAAAGCGGGCACCGGAACCGACAATGCGCTGGCAGGAGGACCCGGATCCCGAGGACGAAAACCTCTATGAGAAGGTGAGAGAGAGGGGAAACGGGACGCCGGTAGGGTCAATCGGGGGCCGGCGGACGGGGAGCCGTAGAGGACTTTCTTAGGCTGCTGAGGATTGCGCAGCTGGTGAAATCCTTGAAGACGTGGGTATTTTGCCTAGCTTATTGACCTCATTTTCCCCATGTTCTCTTCGGTTCAGAGCCAGAGGCGAGACTGACCTTATTTTGCATACAGGTACCAAACCTGAAGCGGGCAGTGCTCAAAACACTTAGAATAGTATAACAACAATAATACTGAACACTGATAGGACGGTTGCTCAGTGCCAGTGTTCTAAACACTTTACATACATTAACGTATCTGATCCTCAAATCAACCCTATATCTTAGGTACTATTAGTATACTCATTGTACACATGAGGAAACTGAAGCACAGAGATGTAAAGTGTCTTGCTCAAGTTCATATAACTGAATGTGCAGCAGATCGTATTTGAACTTAGGTCTACCAGGTCTGCTGTGCTGTGTTGATAGCAGAGGCGCTGAAATCAATTCCCGGCTTGGAATACAGGCACTGACAGTTACTCACCTGTGTGACCTTGGGAAGTGACAACCCCTTGGTGCTTCAGTTTCTTTGTAAAATGGGGAAAGTATTAGGCCCTTTTAAAAAATAAAATACATCTGCCTTGTGTAATTAAATGAGTCAAAATGCTTAGAACAGCATCTGGCACTTAGTAAGTACTCAGCATTAGGTGTTAATTATTATTGCCACTTTCCACCTCACTGGGATATTGTGAGGTTTGTGTATGTGAAAAGACCTGACACATAAGAAATTGAGGGGCTTGGATATGTAGGATGCTCATTCATTCATTCATTCATTCATTCTGTAAATATGTATTGAGGGCCTGCTGTATGCCAGGCACAGTTCAGTCCCTGGGGGTTCAGCAGTGTAGAAATCAGATATAACCCTTACTCTTATAGAGCTTATATGATAGTGGGAAACACAGAAAATATGTAAAATACTTAAAACTGGTAATATAGAGTATGTAATTGATAATATAAGATAATGTGATATAAGAGGATCTGGAGGATGCTACTTTGGTAAACTAATGCTAGAAAGACTGTGAAGCAGGATAAGTGGATCGAGAGTTTCTTTGGGGTAGGGGGTGATTTTATTAGGCTGAACCATAGGAAATGGCCAATATTCAACCATTTTTCACCTAAGAAAATGGCAATTTCCTATAGTTAACTTAATAGACAAGGTGACTAGGGAATGTGTCTTAAGAGAAGTGATGATGAAGCCAAAACTTTGAATGAGGAGGTAGATCCAGCCATGACTAGATCTGGGGGAAAGTCTTTCCAGAAGGAGCAGCAAGCACAAAAGCCCTATGGTGGGAAGGAGCTTGACAAGTCTTAAGAACAGAAAAAAAGGAATTTAGGGAGGGAGGGGAGATTGGTTTGAGGTGAAATTGGAGACCAGCTTACACAGGGCCAGCATAAGGCTTTGTGTAGCAGCAGGAAGCCTCATTGACCTCTTCTCCTTCCACAGAACCCAGACTCCCATGGCTACGACAAGGACCCTGTTATGGACCTATGGAACATGCGGGCTGTATTCTTCTTTGGCTTCTCCATTGTCTTGGTCTTTGGCACCACCTTCGTGGCTTATCTGCCTGACTACAGGTTCATGGGGTGTCCAAGAGAATGGGATGGGTGGGGGCGGAGGCAGGGGTGGAAGTCGAAGGGGGCTCTGCCAGAAATCCTGTCCTGCACCATTTGAGGATTGGGGAGCTAAAGTGGGGATTGATGTCCACTGAGGCT